AAGCTGTCACTTTCCTCCGGTCCCCTTCCCTTAACAAACGTGGCCGCCTGGGGGGGTGTGTCCGAGTGTGGCCGTGCCACCTCACAGGTTAATGATAGGAAATACGCCATCACCGTAGCGCGTTCTCTCTCCTGAACCGGAAGGGGTTGATGGTGGCTGCCGAGGTCCAAACCTCCTCCGTTCCTTCTGTTTATAGTTCTCCCTCCTCCTCCGCGGGAGCTGAGCGCCAAACTCAAACGCTGTCAGGACCGGGACTTCTTTCACGCTGGTGCTGAGGCCCAGGCCTAGTGGGCTTTTTTTCGCACACCGGTCGCGGCAGCGGTCCGACATGAGCCAAGTTCTCTTCCAGCAGCTTGTCCCCTTGCAAGTGAAATGCAAAGACTGTGAGGAGAGGTGAGGTCCGCGTCTCCCGGGGCCGGCGGGTGGCGGTTGGGGTCGAGCCAATGGGGAAGATGGCGGCTCGGTTCCGCGGGGATCGGTCCGCGGCCGTGTGGGACTCACTGCCCGGACGCCGGGAGGGAGGGACCCTGCGGGGACCTAATGTCGCCGGGTCGGCTGTTGCGGAGGGGACGCTCGGCAAGGGAACCGGGAAATGGGAAACGGACTCCGCTCAGGCTGGTGTGGTATCTGAGCGGGACTGAGCCCAGCCTGCCCTTTCTGGGTGGGAGCCCTGATCCTCTCCACTTCATTTCCGAAGCTTCACGGTGGCTCCGGGGAAGGGTCCGCGCCAGCCCCTCCCTCCCTCACGCCCTCCTTTGGAGCTGCAACTAAAAACAAAAAAAAATAATTTCACTGATATGCTTCGGCTCATCTGCACATCAGTCACAAAACACAGAGGCATTTAACCAACCCCAAACACTGCAAAGCCAGGAACTCTTTTCATTCAATAAATACTGTGAACCCGTAAAGCACCTTGTTTGGACCCCCCCGGGGACCCTGTGGTCTTCATTGAGTTAACAGTACAGCAGTACGGTAGAGGGCATTAAGCCTATCTCACAGATACAGGCAAGCTTGCAACTTTATTCACAAGTGATGCTATCACGGCTTAAGTAGATTGATTAGAAGTTAGATCTGATTTTCCCTGTTTTGCCAGTAATTTTTTTTTTTAGCTGTTATTTAGTTTCTGTGAATCCTGTTTACTCGTTTGTAAAACTAATTGAGCACACCTACCTACCCATGTGATTGAAACGAAGATCAGGTGCGAAAAATGAATGTAGAAACTGAACGGTGAAGAAATGCCGCATCAAGTAATGAAGACACTGATTTATTGTGTTGCCGGTACTGTTAAACCATGGCACACAATTTAGAATGAGGTCCAGAATCAACTGGCAAAGAAGTCAGAATGAACAGTCGTATATGGGAGCTGTAGATTGTTCTCATTGTCTAATCGTTGTTGACTTTGGCAGTTGAGCTTACGCCCTCACTTGGCACGCTGTACACTGATCTATAACCCGTAGCCTCTACTTGATTAGTTGTGCTGTCCAGTATAGTGGCCATTAGTCACATATAGTTATTGAATGTGGGCTAATCCAAACTGATGTCTCTAAGTATAAAAATTCATGTTAGATTTTGAAGACATGGTAGTAACAAGAATGTAAACAATCTCAATTTTATGTTATCTGTCACAGCGATTTTTAGGGTATATTGGGCTAAATGTATTCAAGTTAATTTTACTTTCAAAGCTAGGGGTTTTCTAACTTAGTTTAAAATGACATATATGACTAACACTTATGGCTTTTGTTTTGTTTCTGTTGGACAATGTGGGACATTACTTGTGATCGCAAGCTTGACACTCCTAACTCTTCTTCTACACATTACATTGTAATCAGAGTTAATCATATTAAAACACAATTTCAACTTTTAAAATTTGTTTAGAAACCTGATAGGAATCTGTCACCTGTGGCAAGGATCAACCTACTGTTCATAAATCAAATTTTACTGGAACACAGCCATCCTCCTTTGTTACCAACTGTCTGTGGTTGCTTTGTCTCAAGGACTTGAATGAGCAATTGTATGGGGTACTAGCTGGAATGTAGCTCCGTGGTCTTTATGGTAGAGTGCCTGTTTGCCCTCAGTACTCAATAGCAGCAATAGCAGAGACAGAGGAGAGAGGAAAACAATTGTGACAGAAACTCTATAGTCTTCACAGTCTAAAATATTTACTCTCTGGCCTCTTGCAGAATAATTTTGCTACCTCCTAGCGTATAGGAAGAACAACCTACATTGTTTAGCTAGGTATTCAAGACCAGTTTACTTCAACAAATATTTGCAAATGCCTACTGTGTGCCAAGAACTATCCTAGGTGCTGAGGGTGTGACACTTTCTTTCCTATCCCCAACAAGAGCAGGAACAAAAAAACAGTCTTCATTGTGGTTCTCAGGGAATGCACAGCCTTAGAACTGAGATTTCCCTTGGACAGGAAGCATAGCACAGGTTACAAGTTTAGGTCTGACGATAGATTGCCTGGGTTTAATTTAATTCCAATTCTGCCACTTGAACAGTTTATTTACTGTGTGTACTTATGTTTCTGTGGATTGACTCATTCCCTTGCAATATGCTATCATGGACTTTACCCCCAACATCAAGCTTACACAATTTATTAATTTTTTGTCTCATCTTTAAATTCTGAATAATAGTACCTACCTCATAGGATTATTATTGAACATGAAATGATTTAATACATACAAAGTGCTTAAAATAGTAGCTGATATATACTAAATATTCCCTAACCCTTAGTTATTAGTAAGGAGTGATTGCATAAGTATTATAATAAAGGCATAGAGGAAGGGAAGGCACTTGGGTAGAGGATAGTGCAACTGTCAGAGATCCCTACCTGGTGAGATCTTTAAAGCCAGATTGGATAACCACCTGTTCTCTCAGTGACTTCGAAGGTGTGTGTGTGTGCCACCTGTTCTCTCAGTGACTTCGAAGGGGTGTGTGTGTATGTGTGTATGTATGTCTGCCTGTCTGTCTCTGGTGTGCGTGCATGTGTGCATGAGTATGAATGAGTGTGGAAGTCATAGGTTGGCTTCTAGTATCTTTTTTAAAACAATCTCCACCTTAAAATTATTATTTTTTTAGAAGTTGCACGTATTTATTACTGTGTGTGGAGAGGAGGGTATGTGTGTACCACAGTGCTTGTGGAGGTCAGAGGACAACTTGCAGGAGTCTGTACTCTTCTTTGACCATGTGGGTTTTGTGGGTTCCAGGTATTGAATTTAGCCTGTCAGGATTGGGGGGGGGGTCTTTCCTATTGAGTCATCTTGCTGACCTTTCACCTTATTTTTTGAGACATGGTCTAACTAAACACCATACCTTACAAATTAATTGGCTAGACCAGCTGGCCTGGCCCTGGGAAATCTCCTGACACTACACTCCCCCACTCCCTAGGGTTACAGATGTATACAAAACACATTGACATAGAAAAATGTGCGTGCGTGTATGTGTGTATGTCTGTCTGTCTTAGCATGTGGGTGTATGCATGTGTGGTGTGTGTCTGTCTTAGCTTGTGTGGTGTGTTTATGTTTTAGCATGTGGGGGGGGGTGCAGGCATACGTGCCTGGAAAGAGAGGAGAGTGTCAGGTCTTTCGGAGCTGGAGTCAGGCCTTTGTGGGCTGTTTGGTGTGGGTGCTGGGGTACAGATTCTGAAAGAACAAGTATGTGTTTTAACCACTGAGCTGTCTCTCCAGTCCCACACCCAGCTTTTGTTTGGGTACTGGGGATCCAAATTCAGATTGTCATGCTGGTGTGGCAGGCACTTTACTGACTGTGCCATCTCCTCAGTACCCCGAAGTGTAGCTTACATCCCTTCCCAGTAAGGATCTTTTAAAGTTGCCCAGGATGGCCAGGTGTGGTAGAATTCCAGCACTCAGCAGGGGCAGGTGACTCTGAGTTTTAGGCCAGCCTGGTGGCAACTACAAAACTAGGTGCCTAAATTGAAATTAGTTGTCATTAATCATTTATTAGGTAGCATTATGTAGGGAAGAAATGAGTTCAAATGAGACCTTGTAATGTGCCTCAGGTTCTTCCTCTCTGAGAGAAATAAATAGCCACTAAGATTATTGCTGACTGGGGTAAATCCCTCCTCCTCCTCCTCCTCCTCCTCCTCCTCCTCCTTCTCCTTCTCTTCATCTTCCTCCTCCTCCTCCTGCTCCTCCTCTTCCTTCCCCTTCTCCTCCTGTCTGTCTGTCTGTCTGTCTGTCTGTCTGTCTCTCATCCAGCCTGGTAAGTACTTAGACATTAATAGCTCTTCTTTTCCTTCTCTTGAGCCCTAAAACAATCAGAGGAATCTAGGTAAGAACTTTGTCTGATTTCAGTTTGCAGACATGAACCATGTTTACTTCTGTTTGTATCCTTAGCACCCAACAGCTACCTGGCTTACAGTAGCTTTTGTTTTCTGCACTGAGAGGATAAAGTCACAGCTTCTAGATGACAGCAATGGGCTGAAATCCAGCTCTGGCGTCTAATATTTAAGATCTTTATTTAAAAAAAAAGCCAACCTGGCTCCATCTGGCTGACCTGGAGGGTGTTATTCGGTTACAAACAATGTTTAAGGTGTGACCTTCAGTGTATTCATTGGGATTTTGTTTGTTTTAATGCTTTTATATCATGAATCTTTCTAATACAGAAAATAAGATTTGTGGTTGAAATGATATATCTGCAATCTTAGGTTTTCCTACCACATATTTCTAGAGGTGGTTTTGGGTTTTTCAAGACAGGGTTTCTGTGTGTAGTCCTAGCTTTCCTAGAACTTGCTCTGTAAACCAGGCTGGCCTTGAATGCAGAGATCTGCCTGCTTCTGCCTCTGAGTGTTGGCACTAACGGTGTGTGCCACCACTGTGAGACTCTAGGGGTGTTTTTAAAGTAAATATGGAGAATATATTTAGTTTAGGGCCTTCCTCAAGTTTCCTCCCAACATCTAATCCATTGTAGGTACTTTGAATGTATACAACAGTATTATTAATATGAGTGGTGAATTGTTATAGTCAAATAATTTTTAAACTTAGGTAAAGGGCATTTTATTTCTCTTTGGTTTTTATGTGTGTGTGTGTTCTTTTCATTCATACACACACACACACACACACACACACACACACACACGCTTTTGTTTTTATCGAACTGATTATTCTTTCATGTTTCTAAATGAAGTTATGAAGTACAGGACTTTCTAAGCTGTAAGACACAATAAAAAATTAGATGTCGATTTAAATAACATACCACTATAGCAGACACCACTATGTCCTAGATAAACAAAAAAACCCTCTATCTACGAGAGCCCATTTATCTCTTAGTTAGGAAATTGGGGTGTTTTCTTTCAAAAAGAGCATAAGTGAAGTTGGAGTGCTGTTCCAATTTGCTTCACATACATTGCTGCAGGCAGTAGAGTGATGGCATTGCCTGTGCAGAGGGCCTGTCTAGCATGCATAGCCTCCAGCTTTCATCCCCAGCACCACAGAAACACTGAGCTAGGATAACAAAAGCTCTCCTGTTTGTCATGTAGCAGCTGCCTCCTTTCAGCTAGCATATAGGAGTGATGCATTCAGCTTCCTCATAGGAACTGAGATATAGCTTCCAATTAATAATCAATGAGAAATGTAACTGGTCTGGGCCTGGTGGCACACAACTTTAATCCCAGCACTTGGGAAGCAGAGGCAGTTGAATCTCCTGAATTTCAGGCCAATCTGATCTACACAGAGAGTTCCAGGACAGCCAGGACTACATAAAAAAGACCCTGCCTCAAAAACCAAACAAATGAAATAAAATGACCCATTTTAAAACAATATAAAATTGCAAATCCAAGCTTAAGAAAAAAAGATCTTAGCAGTTGAATCTTGTCCAACTGTTCCAACTTTCCCAATCCATTGTCAGTTGCTGCATCTGTTTTATTCCTGTTGTAGAGAAGTAGGATATGAAAAAGGTTTAAACCATTTCAACTTGAACAGATTCAATTTTGTTTTAGTTATTGTTCTATTGCTGTGATAAGAGATCATGACTACGGTAACATATAGAAGACATTACTTCTTTCAGGCTTAAATTTCAGAGTTGGGGTCCATGATGACAGAGCACCAGACAGAGAGAAGGTAGCAGATAGCTGAAGTACTGTCTGAGAGCAAACAGGAGACAGACCACACTGGGAATGGTCCAAGTCTTTTGAAACCTCAAAGTCCACCCTCAGTGACACACACCTCCCCAAAGGCCACATCTCCTCATCCTTCTGAAACTTCTGCCAACTTAGGACCACAGATTTAAACATAGCCTGTGGGAGCCATTCATATTCAAACCACCACAAATTTGTTTACCACCCCTACACACACACACACACACACACACACACACACACACACACACACACACATATCAGAGAAAGACCATTGTTACTGAATTTAGCAGTTTTGAGATATGTAAACATTTTTCACTAATTTAATGTTATTACTACTTTTAGTCTATTCATAATGGATACTGCATAGAGTGTGGAGTGTTATGGCTTCACTTTCTCAGACAATTACTTGTGAATGAGACAAATAGTAAACTTGTTGAAAATATTTATGTGGATATATTACATGGAGAATTTTGTTTGTTTGTTTGTTTTTTTCGAGACAGGGTTTCTCTGTGTAGCTTTGGAGCCTCTCCTGGCACTCACTCTGGAGCCCGGGCTGCTCTCGACCTCACAGAGATCCGCCTGCCTCTGCCTCCTGAGTGGTGGGATTAAAGGCGTGCGCCACCAATGCCCGGCTGAGAATATTTTATATAGATTTGTTTTGGGGTTTAAAATATTTTGTGAATGTAACAGGATGATGATTGTCATTTCCTTGGGTCTAAAAATAATGTAAACATTGTAATATTTTAACTTTTTAAAAAAGATGTTATTAATTATGTATATAACATTCTGCCTCCATGTATGCCTGCACACCAGAAGAGGGCACCAGATGTCATTATAGATGGTCATGAGCCACTATGTGGTTGCTGGGAATTGAACTCAGGTCCTCTGGAAGAGCAGTTCAGTGCTCTTAACCTCTGAGCCATCTCTCCAGCCCCTATTTTAACTTTTTAAGGTGGTATCTGTCTGTAAATCAGTTTGATCATTGCAATGGTATTTTCAGATCTCAAAGTTGTTACTAACTTGATGGTCTGTCTCTCAGTAGATGCTCTTTAGAATCTGTCTAAAGTTATTCACCAGAATATGAGCAATAGGCACCCTATTGTTCAACCCATTTAGTCACAACGTCTTCATTTAAAAGAGACAAAATTAACCCTTCCATTCAGAATTACTAGGGTACTTATTAGAGGAACCGAGTCCAGCGTGCGTTCTAAAATCTGTTCCTAAGCTTGAGGGCACCTGTGGAGAGGCTTGTGGTCTGAGGTGGAAATGTTAACTGGTGTACGGATAGTGAACTCATGTCACACGAATGTTTCTGAGTTCTTCATGTCTTTTCCTCCAGGAGAGGAAGTGTTAGAGTGAGCATTGAACTACAATCACTTTCTAATCCAGTACATAGAAAGGTTGGTATTTATTTCCTTTTCAAATATGATTATTTGTGTGTGATGTAATTATTGTTGTGGCTTTGTTTTGTTTTAAGAAAGTGAGATCTGTACTAACTATACTTAGTCATACTATAATCACTAAGGCTGGTTTTACTGGGTGAGTTTTATAGATAATATAATGATTATATTCCACATATGCTGACTTTTGCGGTTTCCCCAAATATGAGAGATTCTATTGTCCTGTTTGTGATTGTGGTGGACTATTTGTGTTCTCCCTCATCTCTTTGGTACTGTAATAAAATTATGGATTTTTAAAAAGGTGAATCCACTTTTTAAAAATTTGGGTGGTTTTTGTAGCTGTTGCAAGCCTAGGGTGGTGAAATCTAAGTCAGCAATTTAAATATAATTATACCATGTATTACCAAATCCAAGAAGAATTAGGGGTTGGTATAACAATCTGGGTTTGCTCTGAGCATTTAAAAGATTACCTTACTTTACATTCTGATTTAGAGTGAGAATTCCATGTGAACTTCAAAATTGAATTGACTATGGTGATACATGCCTGCAATCACAGTATTCAAGAGGAGAAAGAAGGAGAGAGAGTTCTTTGGCATCCAACCTGGGCTACATAATTGATGCCATATCTTTAAACAAACAAAATCAGCACTAAAGATATAGACCATAGGACTAAGTGTAATCTGTTTTCTTTGTTGAAGCTTTCCCTGAACACATGCAAACATCTCGTAGCTGGCAGTAACTTTAGGTTTTGATTTGTTGTTGTTTTTAGTAACATCTGAGGTGAATTTCAAGAAGTACTTAAGTAGAGGTTCCTGGACCACAGGCTGTTCTGAGGTAGAGCAAGGCCCCAGTTCGTTGGTTTTCCAGAACAGAGAATATACATTCTTACATGTTAATTTTACACATGGTACCTCTTCAATTTTTTTTTTGTCTCATTAATAAATTGCTCAATGTTTCCAGTTCGCTTTGTTAAGGTTCTTGGTTAGTCCTAGCCCCTTGCACAGTGTGCCAGTTTGCCTGGTGCCAGTGTTCTCTGAAGTGGATCATTTTTATGTACCTACCTGTCAGGTGTGATGCTCTGGCTCACTCTAAATTTAACAACCTGACAAGTGTCTTTATGAAAGGAACCCATTTCATTAGAAAAGAAAACAGATGGATAGTCCCTTGAGTGACCAGCTGGAGTGGGAGGCCTCCTGGGAAGCCCTGGAAACATGTTACCTGATACCCATTTTCTATCTGAGCCACAAAAGCTCCTTTTCTTGAGTAGATGATTGTCAGTTTCGCTGTTTAAATTTGCTGCTTTTGAAATACTTGACCAGTTCATTTGAGGGAAACTGAAAATACAATCATTGAGTCCAGCCCTGGTGCCACAGAGTGCTAAGCCATCTACACTTTTCTGACCTCATAGAAAATCCTCTTAGCTTCCAGCATTTTGACAGCTTCTGCACACCTCATATGGCTCTCATGGATCCGAATGTCTGCCTGTTTAAGATGCTCATTCCCTCAAGACTTGTAAAAATTAGCAGTGCTAGCAAATAGGACTCTGCCATACAACTGATATGTTGATGTTGTTGAATAATTTCACTTTTACAAAAGATCTACCTGAAACATTTAAAAAACCCAATCTTTTCTTTAGGATTTAGTCATCCGTCTGACTGATGATACAGATCCATTTTTTCTGTATAACCTTGTTATTTCTGAGGAAGATTTTCAAAGGTAAGTTTACTCTATTATTTGATGGCCCTATGTAGTCTAGAAATTACTTTCTAAATTTTATAGTGTATTTACACTGTTATTTTCTGAAACATTTACCTATTCGGATGGTAAGTCAGTCTGGGAATACTGACTTGTCTTGACAGGGTATTTTAAAAGATAAATATTTTATAGCTTATCAGACTTCCACCTAAGCAGCTCACAAATTTGATGATTTTCTGAATTTCTTGATTCCTGTTAGATAAGGTTAATACAAATCAAAAGCTGCCTAATTTAGTTTTTTAGAAAATAATGACATTAGTAAATAAAGAATATTTCAGTCTATGAATGGTAACTAAAAATAGTAATTAGGTTTCTGAAGAACTGTTTTTTTGTTTTCTGTATAGTTTAAAATTGCAGCAAGGTCTCCTGGTGGACTTCTTAGCTTTTCCACAGAAATTTATAGACCTCCTTCAGCAGTGCACGCAGGAGCATGGGAAGGAGACGCCAAGGTGAGGCTTGGAGTGTCGGGGCACTGTACCTCTGCTCGGACGCCCTATGAAAGATGGTTTCCATGGATTACAAATACCTCAGGTTATTCTTTTAAAGTAGGGTTCAGGCTCAGTTAAACCCCAAATTAACCCGTACTAACTGCTCTTCCAGAGGATCCAAATTCAGTTCCCAGCACCAACATGGTAGCTCACAACTGTCTGTGACTCCAGTTTCAGGGGATCCAACACCCTCATACAGACATACATGCAGACAAAACACCAATGTATATAAAATATAAAAAGAAATCTTGACTTAAATAAACATTTAACCCTTAATTTACATGGTTTAATTCAGCTTTTAAAGTTAGTCAACTTTAAAAAAATTTTTTTCCTAAGATTGATTGATTTTGGTTTCCTGGCACAGAGTTTCTCTGTGTAGCCCTGGTTGTCCTGGAATGTACCATGTAAACCAGGCTGGTCTCAAACACACAGAGATCCACCTGCCTCTGCCTCCCAAGTGCTGGGATTAAAGGTGAGCACTAAAATTTATTTCTTATGAATGTGTGTCTGTATGTAGGGCCTTTGGAGGCCAGACAGTGTGTCAAATTTCCTAGGGCTGCCGGCAGGTATCAGCACCCAACCTGGGTGTTGAGAACTGTCCTTAGGTCCTCAGAAAGAGCATCAAGTACTCTTAACTGCTGAGCTATCTCTCCAGCACCAAACTAGTTGAACTATTTAGTAGCATTTTTTTTTTTATAGTGATTGCATTTATGTTCATGGTCATGTGCTGCTGACACCTGACCATGTAAAGTTCAGCTGGAAGCTTTTCTTGGCTTAAACAACTGCTGACTATTGTTTAAAATATTGCCATATTAGAAACTCTGAAATAATTTTTCTGGGTCCCCACCCCCACTTTTTTTGGGGGGGACATCGTTTCTCTGTGTAGTTCTTGCTGTCTTGGAACTCTCATTCTGTAAATCAGACTGTCTTACTCGAACTTACAGCTATCTGCCTGCTTCTGTCTCAAGTGCTGGGATTAAAGGAGTGCACCACCAATTCCCAACTCCTCTTTTTTGATACAGGATATTAATATATAGAGCTGGCTGTTTTGGAACTTACTAATGTAGACCAGACTGACCTCCAATTCACAGAGATCCAACTGCCTCCACCTCCCTGGTGCTGGAATTAAAGTGGCATGTGACCCCCACCCCCACCCCAGGCCCTTTTTTCATGTTTATTAGGTATAATTATTTTTAAAAGAACTTTTTCTTGTGAGTCAAGCTATGTGATCATTCTGAAAGTTTAGAGGGAAAAAGGATAGCCTGTAATTTAAAGGTAAGTTGTCAGAGTAAGGAGCTGGTATTCTGGTCACCCCTTTGGTACACTGAGTTTTTGTTTTTGTTATTTTTTTTTTTAATTTTATGTGCATTGCTGTTTTGCCCATATGTATGCCTGTGTGAGGGTGTCAGATCTTGGAGTTACAGACAGTTGCTAACTACCATGTGGGTACTGGGAAATGAGCCCAGGTCCTCAGGAAGAGCAATCAGTGCTCTTAACCACTGAGCCATCTTTCCAGCCCTAAGTTTTTGTTTTCTCTCTGTTTCCTTTTTTTCTCCCACTGTGAACTCAAGGGCTGCATTTCATTCAACACCCTGTCATACTCCTCTTTATCTTTTTACATAGCCCCTATGGTTTTTAATTTCTCCACTTCATGGTCTAAGTTGGGAAGTTCATGATGCAATGGGACGGTTTCAGTTTTGTGTGCTGTAATGTGGCTTTTCTCTTCAAAGGTTTCTGCTGCAGCTTATTTCTTCATCTGCTCTTTTGGATAACATGCCAGTATTTTTAAATGTTGTGGAGACAAACCCTTTTAAGCATCTTATTCACCTATCATTAAAGCTTTTACCTGGAAATGATGTAGAGATAAAGAAGTTTTTAGCAGGCTGTTTGAAATGCAGCAAGGTAAGATTTTAAATTTGTCACTCTTGTAAACTATGCACCTATGTACTTTCTAAATCATTGTGGAGCCATGTTGCCCTTTCTTTTTTTGTAGTGAATTTTATTGGTTTTCATTTAGCTACTTGCTATAGCTGTAAGTCTACAACTAGATCAGCAATTGAGAAACTTAGGGTCCAGGGTATTTACTACTTTGCTCTGGCCTTAAGTACCTAAATTCCATGTTGCCATTTTATCAGCTGGCAAATATGTTTGAAAATGTGTATGAACATGTTCTGAATATTGTAAAATGCTACATCATAAAGAACAGGATGGTTTAGTGTTGCTGCTTAAGTAAAAAATGCCAGGCTGGGTGGTGGTGATGCATGCTTTTAATCCCAGCATTTGGGAGCAGAGACAGGTGGATCTCTGTGAGTTTGAGGACAGCCTGGTCTACAAAGTGAGTTCTAGAACAGCCAAGGAGACACAGTGAAACCCTGTGTAAAACTCCGTCTTGAAAAACAACAATTTTTTTTTTTTTTTTTTCAGATAATGGTTAGAACATTGCATAGCAAGTGCTCATGGAGCACAGATCATCTGGGGTCTTGTGAAAATGCAGGTTCTGTTTTAGAAGGCCTGAGTTTTTGTACGTCCAACAGGTTCTTTGCATGATGCTGGTGCTGTATTTTGCTACACTCTGAATAGCTTGGCTATGGATGATTGTATTAAATTGTAAGCTGCATAATTTTATTTTTATAAATAGGAAGAAAAATTATCATTGACTAAATCACTAGATGATGTTTCCAGGCAACTGCACATCACACAAGAGGTAATTCAAATTTCATTTTGTCTTCGTAAGTCATCCAGGCATTGGTTCTGAACTCTTTCTTGAATTAAACCCAAACCTTTGTGTATCTTCTTTCAAAATATGTTGCCATGGAATCTCATCTCTTTGCCCCTTTCCCCTACTAGTTAATTATTTTAAGTTGATGCTTGCTTTTAGACATTTAATCCCCCCAAACATTTCTGCCATCCCATCATATGACACATTTTCTAAGTTAGCATCAAGTAAGACAATGCTTAGCATCTATCACTTATTCTCTTTCCTTTAAAATTGTATTACATTTATTTATTGTGTGTATGTATGTATGCTTCAATTTGTGTGTAGGCATGTGTGTACCATGGCATGTGGGAGTTGATTTTTCTCCTTCTGCCATGGATACCAGGAATCAAACTCAGGTCATCAGGCTTGGTGGAAGCTCTTGCTGGCCCTTTCATTTAATTCATCTTTTTGTCTGCCTTAAAATGGCATTTTAGTTCCTATCTCCCTTTCCCTTCTTTCCTGTATTAAGATTAGAATCAGTCCTTTGATGGGCTCAGCGTGGTTTCGGTTGTGATCACTACACTTTTGCCCTTCACCTTTGAAATCTAGGGTGAAAGTACTTGCTCAACAACATGGCTGCAGGCAGAAATACTCCTGTGAAGCTTGGTCCCTTGGAGGCGACCTTGCTACTGTACTTACATATAAGAAGTAAACTTAGGAGAGACAGTATATCCAGGTTTCTTAATGTCAGAGGAAAGAGCTTGGTGCTGAAGAGCTAGATGAAGTTAAGTTTAAAGACAGTTTAAGCTTCACCTGTAGGCCTATTGTAGCTCTAAAATTGTTTTTATTCTTATCTTGAATTTCTTAAATTAATCTGCAGGGAAAAGTTTGAGTATGTATTGGAAAGAAGAAAGTTTCTTTCAGTGTCCTTGTTAAGTACTCTGTGCTTTCATCTGAAATGTAGCATATTAATACCTTGTACTGACCTCTGATATAGATGCTATCAGAAAAAACACAAGAATTAGATAAATTGCGGAGTGAATGGGCCTCACACACAGCATCGTTGACAAATAAGCATTCTCAGGAATTAACGAATGAGAAGGAAAAAGCCTTGCAGGTGAGCATTAAAGGTAATTGGAAAATGCCATTTTAAAAATTATTCTTAGTTATTTCATTAATTATAAAATTAATAAATGCTTGCTTTAAAATTTTCAAACATCTAACAAGTGCATAAAATGAAAATTAAAAGCTTATTTTTCTAAGTGTTACTATTCAAAGGTTATATAGTCATCCTAGTCATTTTATTCTGTTCAGCTTCCTAGCCATCAGCCTTACCCCTCATGGATGACCTGCTGGTCCTCCGTTAAGGTCATCATATTGATTCTCAACTCAGTGTAGATAATTTGATATCTTTTTCTAGACTCCTCTCTGTATATATGAGTGACATACAATTTACAAATAATTGTTTATAAATTTGTAGCAATGTAAGTTATAATTATAGAGTACATTTGGGGTTTTATTCTATGCTAATAAAATTTTATTAGATATAATTGACTAAGTTTTTTTTTAAAAAAAACTTAACATATCATTCTCTATCAATTCAAATACTCCTTTTAGTGCTATACAGCTATTATTCGTCATTCAGTTGCAACTTAAAATTAACCACTTACAAACTGGTAGACATTTAAATGCTTTGAGGTTTTGGTTACTGTGAGCAATCACTGAGCTTTCTGTTCACATTGTAATACATCTACATAAAATTTCATTGATAGTTACTCATCATCTAAAAGGTTATGTCACATGGGAATCCCAAAAGACTAATTCCCTGTGCTCCTGATACTGTTAATCATCTTTGTATTTGTCACCTTGTGTGCACTAAAGCTTGGATCGATTCTTGTTATATCTTTGTGTAAAACTAAGCATCTATTCACATGGTGTTTTGTCATTTGCATTTCTTCTATGGATTACTTTTTGACCTTTCCTCCATTTGTTCTTTTGTAGTGCGATTTCTTACCTTCTGTTTTATAGCTTTAATAATAAAATTTTAATGTACTTAATACTAGCTAGTTATTTGCAGCTAAGGATATAATTGGATTTTTTTTTTTATAAGTATAGCTCTAATTCAAATTAAAATCTAGAATATTGTGTCACCCTTCAAGACTGCCTGATGTGTTTTCCCAGTCTGTGTGCTACTCTTACAGGGTGTCTTAGTTAGGGTTTCTATTGCTGTGAAGAGACACCATGACCATAGCACGTATTATAAAGGAAAGCATTTAATTGGGGCTGGTTTACAGTTCAGCGGTTCAGTCCATTATCAGCATGGTGGCATGCAGGCAGACAACATGTTTCTGGAGAGGTAGCTGAGAATTCTACATCTCCATCCACAGGCAGCAGGAAGAAATAGTGAGCCACTGGGCCTGGCTTGAGCATGGAAACCTCAAAGCCCACCCCCAGTGACACACTTTTTCCAACAAGGCCACACCTCCTAATCCTTTCAAATAATGCCACTCCCTATGAGCCTATGGGGCCATTTTCCTTCAGATTGCTGAATGGAATCATCTTTCTGACTGCTGCCATCATTGCTTGGTTATGTTTGTTCTAAGCGTAAGTTGAATCAAATAGTACATTTTTATATCATTTCCTTCCCTCAACATAACAGCTCTGACATTCAGTTGTATTGTTTTTTATTATTGTATATATACAATATATTATTGTATATAATAGTATTCTATTCTATGACTAGGCCATGACTTACTTGTTTTCTTCTTGACTGACCTTGAATTATTTGTGGTATTATGTTATTATATGTTAAACTGATATGAACAACATACTACATGTCTTTGTGCAGGTATACACTCCCTATTCTTGGGCACAATTTACTGTTGAAATGCCTGGGTTCTAATAGAGGCATGTGTTTAACTTTAGCAGGAACAGCTTGTTTTGCCGTGGAGGTTTACACTGCCGCTCTGTGGGTTTAAAACCCTATCACATAATAATGAACTTTTCTCATATGCATATTGACCAGCTTGATTATGCAGTGCCCATTCCACATGACCATTATTAAATCGACCTATTAATATTTTTCTTACTTATTTTTAAGAATTATTTGTATATCCTAAACATGAATATTTTTGTCAGGTATAGGTGTCACTCAGTATCTATACGAGAGCAATTTCAGGGGCTCTCTTAGGGTACTGAAGGATACAGAGACTCAAAAGTCCCTTCTATAAAGTGGCATACTCTATTTACATATAACTTGTGTATATCTACACTTCCGATCATTTCTGATATATATCAGATATATTATATATAATATAATACAATATATTATATTATAATGTCTAATATAATATATATGCCAAGCAAACAGTTGTACAGTGTTGTTTAGTGAATAATGGCAAGAAAAATCTATATATCACAATATAGATAAAACTGCATGGTACAGGAATGAGCCATAAGGGTAAATGACACTCCAATGACTGAGTACTGAATGACTGAGCCCTATGTACTAATGGCAGAATGTTACAGCAGAGTATCACACATACCTCTCTGTCTCCGTGTATACAACCCTGACTACCCTGAAACTCAGAGATTCGTTTGCCTTTACCTTCTGAGTGCAGGATTAAATGTGTGTACTACCACACCTGGGCCCCAACTTTTCTTTTCTCTTCTCTTCTACATTCTTATTAAGCAATATTTGTGATTGGGGATCTTATATATTTTTACTTTGTAAAAGTGAGACTGTCACTCTGCCTTGACCTCTCTGGTTACTCTGTTTTTGTTTGTTTGTTTTTGTTTTCAGATAGGCTAGCCTTGATCTTTCTGTGTAGCAGAGAATGGCTCGAGTTCTGATCCTCGTGTTTATACTTGCTGAGTGTTGGGAAATTACCAACGAGACAGTGGTGTTGAATTTAAATATACCTTTGTTTGCCTTACTTGTTCTTTCATGAAATCTGTAATTGAAATAGCCTTTTTCTAAGCAGGGAAATCTGAAAATGATGAAGAAATTATGATTGTTTCTCTTCTGATCTTTCCCTATTTATGTTTCTGTTCCTTCTTCTTTGACATATCGTTCTATAACAGGCACAGGTTCAGTACCAGCAGCAGCATGAACAACAGAAAAAGGAGGTGGAAGCCCTCCATCAACGAAATGTCCAGCAGCTTCAGAACAGATTGTCTGAGTTAGAGGCAACTAATAAAGACCTCACTGAGAAGAAGTATAAAGGAGATGCCACTGCTAGAGAGCTGAAAGCCAAGCTTGCTGGTGTGGAAGAGGTAGAGTGCTGGCTGCTTCCCCGACACACTTGTGGACTGCTGAGGTTGAGTCACTGGTTTCACTTCGGTTACTGTACTGCTGAGTAGTGGTGCTCCCTTGGAGGCTCTGCATAGATCTCTTGGCCCTGTAATAATCCTCTCAATGCAAAGAAAATAGGAATAGCAGATGTGATGAAAGTGCTAAGTCAAGAAGGAACTGAGATGGGATAAACTGTTTTTTTTTTTTTTGTAATTTATTTATTAGTTCTAGTTAGGGAACAAGCTTGTTTCACATGTAAGTCCCTTCTCCCTCTCCCTCCCCTCAACCCCATCCCTCCTCTCCCACCCCCGACCTACCCCCAACCCCATCCACACTCCACTCCCCGGGCAGGGTAGGTCCCTCAACGGGGGCTCTGCAAAGTCCAACA